CGTGCCTGTAATCCCAGCTACTCAGGAGGCTGAGGCAGGAGAATTGCCTGAACCCAGGAGGCGGAGGTTGTGGTGAGCCGAGATCGCGCCATTGCACTCCAGCCTGGGTAACAAGAGCGAAACTCCATCTCAAAAAAAAAAAAGAAAAGTAGCTTTTTGGTTTTCCTTTGACTACATTAAACATGTATATTTTCCCCCTGATACATATTACTCTTGAAATGCTGTAGTGGCATTTATTAACTAAATGTTTATATTCTCTCCTCTTTGGCACAGGTCCAGATGTGAAGAAACTGTGTGTCCTTTGCCAAATTTTGAAGGATACATCCATAGCCATTAATCTTAACATTATTACCAGCTATAGCATTGAGAATTTTCAGCATGAATGTAGATCTATTTTGGAAAGACTGCAGACAGATGGACAGTTTGCTTTGGCCAGAAGGGTAGCAGAATTAGCTGAGTTACCTGTGGACAACTTGGTTATTGAAGAGGTATCATTGGTCTTTTAAGTTATTTAAAATCTTAGCTCTTAAAATCAGCATTAAACAGTAAATCAGATGAGATACATAATTTATAGGAGATGAGGCCTTTTTTACTTTGGACACACACATTACTTTCAGAAATGGATGAGCCTGCAATTCCCATTGAGAAATGTGTGCTGCAAATGTAATGTTAGTTTGCAAGATATGCTCCAACTATTTTCCTTTGAATAGACTTAAATATAAGGGGGGCTTCCACTTAAACCCCATTCAGTGGGATGAATCAAGAATTGTTTTTCATACCATAACTTTCCAGATAAAATATCCAGGATCATCTGTAGCCAAATCTCTATTCTCTGATTTGATTTGGTTTTAACAAGTATGATAAAGCCAGGTGCAGTGGCTCATGCCTGTGATTCCAGCACTTTGGGAGGCGGAGGCAGGAGGATTGCTTGAGCCCAGGAGTTCAAGACCAGTCTGGGCAACATAGGGAGACCCTGTCTCTACAAAAAAATTAAAAATTAGTCAGGTGTGATGACACACACCTGTGGTCCCAGCTCCCTGGGAGGCTGAGGTGGGAGGTTCTCTTGGGTCCAGGAGGTTGAGGCTGCAGTGTGCTATGATTGTCCCACTGCTGTCCAGCCTGGGTGACAGACTGAGACCCTATCTCAAAAAAAAAAAGAAAAAAAAAAGACAAGTATGATATACTTAGGGAACATTAGCATTAAGGCTAAAATCTGCTTTGTTAAATTTCACAGATAACACGGGAAATGCAGACCCTAAAACACATTGAACAGTGGTCACTAAAACAAGCAAGAATTGACTTCTGGAAAAAATGCCATGAGAATTTTCAGAAAAATTCAATTTCAAGCAAAGCAGCTTCTTCCTTTTTCTCAGCTCAGGCCCATGTGGCATGTGAGCACCCAACTGGACAGAGCAGCATTGAGGAGCGCCATCTGCTGCTCACCCTGGCAGGGTACTGGCTTGCTCAGGAGGACCCGGTGCCTCTGGACAAGCTGGAGGAGCTGGAGAAGGAGATCTGGCTCTGCCGCATCACCCAGCACACACTTGGAAGAAATCAGGAAGAAACAGAGCCCAGATTTTCTCGACAGATCTCAACTAGTGGTGAACTTTCCTTTGATAGTTTAGCCAATGAGTTTTCCTTCTCCAAGTTGGCTGCTCTGAACACATCAAAATACTTAGACCTTAACAGCATTCCATCCAAAGAGACATGCGAAAGTAGACTGGATTGGAAAGAGCAGGAGTCACTAAACTTTTTGATTGGGCACCTACTGGATGATGGCTGTGTGCATGAAGCAAGTAGAGTATGCCAGTATTTTCATTTTTATAATCAAGATGTCACCTTGGTGTTGCACTGCAGAGCACTGGCCTCAGGAGAAGCTAGTGTGGAGGATGTGCACCCGGAGATCCATGCTCTCTTAGGAAGTGCTGAGCTGCTTGAGGAAGAAGAGCCTGACGTTCTCCTAAGGAGAGTCCACAGCAGTAAGTGAAAGAGAGCAGACGGCCCAGATCTTAAATGGCACTGTTGGCACTGTCTCTAAGAAGGAAGGGTCCCTCGTGGCAGAATAGTTATACAAAGTTAAGGGGACAACAACTTTTTTCCAGGTAATCTGTAAACTAGATAATAACTAGTCAATGAAGTAGAAAGACGTTATGTCTTTTAAACTAGCTATGTTTCAAAGTTAGAGGGAATGTATCTGATTTGTAGCTAGTTCAGTGAAATGTATTCTATACATCTGTAAATTTAATCATTTCCAGTCTTAATAGTATATAGAAATTTTTTTTTTTTTTTTTGAGATGGAGTTTTCGCTCTTATCGCCCAGGCCAAAGTGCAGTCGTGCGGTCTCAGCTCACTGCAACTTCCATCTCCCAGGTTCTCATACCTCAGCCTCCCAAGTAGCTAACATTACAGGTGGCGCCACCACACCCAGCTAATTTTTGTATTTTTAGTAGAGACAGTGTTTCATCATCTTAGCCAGGCTGGTCTCGAACTTCTGAGCTCAGGTGATTTGCCCTCCTTGGCCTCCCAAAGTGCTAATTTTTTTTTTTTTTTTTTTTTTTTTTGTATTTTAGTAGAAACAGGGTTTCAACATGTTGGCCAGGGTGGTCCCAATCTCTTGACCTCGTGATACCCCTGCCTTGGCCTCCCAAAGTGCTGGGATTATAGGCTTGAGCCACTGCGCCAGCCCCAGAAATATGTTTTTTTATGTTAACTTTATATTCTGTGACTTTGTTAAACTTGCTTATTCTAGATTTCTTGTAGATTCCCCGAGATATTCCACATGGACAGTGATGTCATCAGCAAATAGAGACAGTTGTATTTCTTCCTTTCCAATCTGTGTGCCTTTTATTTCTTGTTCTTGCTTTATTGCACTGATTAGGCCTTTCAGTACTGTGTTGGATAGGAGTGGTGAGAGTGGACATCCGTACCTTTTTACTGACCTTAAAGGGAAAACATTTGGTCTTTCATCATTAAGTATGGTATTAGCTGTAGGTTTTTTAAGATATTTTATCATGTTGAGGAAGTTCCCTTCTATTTCTGGTTTGCTGAGAATTTTTACCATGAATGTTTGAATTGAGTCATGTTATTTCTACATATGTTGCTTGGATCATGTGGGTTATTTTCTTTAGACTATTAATATGGTAGAGTACATTAATTGATTTTTTAAAATATTGAGCCAATCTTGAATTCCCCATTTAAATAATCCAATTTGGTCCTGGTGCATTATTCTTTTGATTTTTTTGCTGGAATCAGTTTGCTGTTTTGTTAAAGATTTTTACATTTATGTTCATGAGGAATGTTGATCTGTCATTTTCTTTTTTGTACCATTTGGTTTTTTGGGGTGGTTTTTGTTTTTGTTTTTTTTGAGAAAAAATCTTGCTCTGTCGCCCAGGCCAGAGTGTAGTGGCGCAGTCTCAATTCACTACAACCTCCACCTTCAGGGTTCAAGTGATTCACCTCCCTCAGCCTCCCAAGCCAACTGGGATTACAGGTGTATACCACCACACCTGGCTAATTTTTGTATTTTTAGTAGAGATGGGGTTTCACCATATTGGCCAGCCTGGTCTTGAACTCCTGACCGCAAGTGATCTACCCACCTCGGCCTCCCAAAGTGCTGGGATTAAAGGCCTGAGCCGCCAAACTAGGCCTTTTTTTGTACTGTTCTTTTCTGGTTTTTGTATCAAGGTAATGCTGGTTTCATGAGATGGAAAGTATTCCCTACTCTTTTATTTTCTGGAAAACATTGTGTAGAACTGGTGTTATTCTTCTTTAAATGCTTAGTAGAATTTAGCAGTAAAACTACCTGAGACTAGAGATTTCCATTTTGGAAGATTTTAAACCACAAATTCAATTTCCTAAATAATTATGGGACTATTCATGTTATCTTTCTCATCTTGGGTGAGTTTTTGCATTTTGTGATTTTCTTTTTAATTTTTTTCTTTTGTTTTGTTTTTGTTTTTGAGATGGAGTTTTGCTTTTGTTGCCCAGGCTGGAGTGCAATGGTGCAGTCTCAGCTCACTGCATCCTCCACCTCCCAGGTTCCAGCTATTCTGCTGCCTCAGCCTCCCAAGTAGCTGGGATTACAGGCATGCCCCACCAGGCCCAGCTAATTTTGTATTTTTTGTAGAGATGGGGTTTCTCCATGTTGGTCAGGCTGGTCTCAAATAACAGACCTCAGGTGATCTGCCTGCCTCGGCCTCTCAAATTGCTGGGATTATAGGTGTGAGCCACTGCACCCGGCCTGCATTTTGTGATTTTCAAGGAAAACTTTTTCTTCCTGCTTTTTGGGTTATTTGAACATTTTTTAGTCTTCCATTTTATTGTGATGTTGACTGTGCATCTTTGTATAGTTTTTTTTTTTTTTTTTTGAGATGGAGTCTCGCTGTGTAGCCGAGGCTGGAGTGCAGTGGCGCCATCTCAACTCAGTGCAACCTCTGCCTCCTGGGTTCTGGTTCGAGAGATTCTCCTACCTCAGCCTCCCAAGCAGCTGGGATTACAGGCACGAGCCACCATGCCCAGCTAATTTTTGTACTTTTTAGTAGAGAGGGGTTTTACCATGTTGGCTAGTCTGGTCTTGAACTCCTGACCTCGTGATCCACCCACCTCGCCTCGGTCTCCCAAAATGCTAAGATTACAGGTGTGAGCCACCGCGCCCAGCCAGTTTGTTTTTTTAGAGACAACAATGTACTTTGTTAACTTTTCACAGTCTACTTAGAATCAATATTTTACCACCTCAGCTAGAATGTAGGAGAAATCTTAGCACCATTTAGTTCATTTTACTCTTCTCCCTTCACATCCTCCTTGTTTTTTACTATTTCTGCATACACTGAAAACCTCATTAAACAATTAGGTTTTTGTTCTTAACCAAAAAATATATATTAATAAACCCCAAAGAATAGTCTATCATATTTACAACTTTTATTGTTCTTTTATCATTCCTTATGTCCCAGGTTTCCTTCTGGTTTCTTTTGCCTTGTGGCTGAAGGACTTCTTTTAGGGCTGTCTGCTGGCAACAGATTCTCTTAGGGTTTTGTTTTTGTTTTTTAATAAATACTCAGTTTTTCATCATCTGACAATGTCTCTATTTTACCTTCAGTGAGCAGTGTTCATGCCACTGCACTCCAGCCTAGGCAACAAAGCGAGAACCTATCTCAATAAATAAATAAGAAAATTAGTTCTTTTCTTTCAGCACTTGAAAATGTTGTTTCACTTGCTTTTGGCCTCCCAGGGTGTCTGATGAAAAATCTGCAGTTAATTGAATCATTGTTGATCTGTATAAATAGAGCATATTTCTCTGGTTGCTGTGAATATGTTTTTCTGTCTTTGGTCTTCAGCAGTTTGATTGTAATGTAACTGGATATGTATTTCTTTGGCTTTATTCTCTTTGAGGATCACTGAGCTTCTTGAATATGTAGGTTTATGTATTTCACCAAATTTGGGTAGTGTTCAGCCATAATTTTTTCAAATATTTTCTCAGCACCACACCTGTTCTCCTCTCCTTCTGGAACTTCAAGGACATGAATTTATAATTTTTGTTATCGTCTCATGAGTCCTTGAAGTTTTGTTGTTTTGTTTTTGTTTTTGAGACAGTCTCACTCTATTGCCAGGCTGGAGTATAGTGGTGCAATCTCGGCTCACTGCAACCTCCACCTCGCAGGTTCAAGCGATTCTCCTGCCTCAGCCTCCTGAGTAGCTGGGATTACAGGCACACGCCACCACACCCCGCTAATTTTTGTATTTTTAGTAGAGGTGGGGTTTCACCATATTGGCCAGGATGGTCTCTTGACTTTGTGATCGGCCTACCTCGGCCTCCCAAAGCGCTGGGATTACAGGTGTGAGCCACCGCACCCGGCTAATTTTTTTTTTTTTTTTTAACTTTTTTTCTCTCTGTTGTTCAGATTGGATAACTTCTGTTAGTCTCTCTTCAATTTCACTGACGTTTTCCTCTGTCATGTCCATTCTGCTATTGAATTTTCTATGATTTTAAAATTTCAGTTACAGTCATGCGTTGTTAACAATCAGGATACCTTCTGAGAAATGCATTGTCGGGTGATTTCGTCACTGTGCAAACACCATAGAGTGTACTTATACAAACGTAGGTGGTATAGGAACCTAGGTGGTATACCACCTATGCTAAATGGTATATAGCCTGTCATTCCTGGGCTACAAGCCAGTACTGCATGCTACTGTACTGTAGGTGACTGTAACACAATGGTACATATTTGTGTATCTAGACATGTCTGAACATAGAAAAGGTGCAGTAAAAATATGGTATAAAGATTTTTTAGCTTCAGGAAATAAACAATTGGAGATTTTCACTTAAAAATAAGATTTTTTAAAATGGTACAATTTGTAAAGGACACTTAACGTTAATGGAGCTTGCAGGACTAAAAGTTGCTCTGGGTGTCACTAAGTGGTAAGGCAATGTGAAAGCCTAGGATGTTACCATACATTACTGTACATTTTTATCTAAAAATGAAGTAATTGTACTATGTCACAATGACTGTGACGTCACTAGGTATAGGAATTTTTCAGTTCCATTATAATCTTACAGGATCACCACTGTATTTGCAGTCTGTTATTGATGGAAACATTGTTAGCCAGCACGTAACTGTATTTCTCAGTTCTAAAATTTTCATTTTGTTCTTCATACCTTCTATTTATTTGCTGAGACTTTCCATTTTTCTGTTTGTCTCAAGAGCATTCAGAATTGCTTACTGGAACATTTGTATTATAGCTGCTTTAGTCTTTGTCAGATAATTTTAACATTTGCATCATTTTAATGTCTTTTCTTACGTGAGTTGAAGTCTTCCTGCTTTTGTTTTATGCTGAGTAATTTGGGGTTGCATCTGGACATTTTGGGTTTTTTTGTTTGTTTTCTTGTTTTCGTTTTTTGAGATGGAGTCTCACTGTCATCCAGGCTGGAGTGCAGTGGCACAGTCTCACTCACTGCAACTTCTACCTCCCAGCTTCAAGCAATTCTTGTGTCTCAGATCCCCGAGTAGCTGAGATTACAGGTGTGCACCACCATACCTGGCTAATTTTTTTTTATTTTTAGTAGAGATGGGGTTTTGCCATGTTGGCCAGGCCTCAGGTGATCCACATGAGCCACCACAACTAGCTGCATCTGGACATTTTGAATAGTGTATTATTCAAATATGCTATTTGAGACTGTGGATCTTACTTAAATCCTATGAAGGATGTTGATATTTTTTAGCAGACAGTTGACCTGGGTAGGTTCAGGCTGAAGTTCTAAACCACTGCCTGTGTGCTGTGATTTCAACATCAGTTCCGTTTCCTTTGCTGTACTATTCAGAGCTGTCCTGTGTGAGCACACCATCCACTGGTCAATCTGTGACCTTGGTAGTGATCTATCCATTAATTCCATTCTCAGAGGCTTTGACATGCTAGTTAGGATCAAAGCCATACACGTGTAGTCCAGGAGTGAGCCCTGTAGTTCATAAAAATTTATTGGGTTGCTTTCCCAGGGCTCTGCCAGGTAATTTCTGGTTCCCTGAGGCTTCTCTTTTCAGTTCTTTGGCCAAAAGCTAAAAGTTTAGTTACCCCCACTCTGTCTTGCATTTCCCTGACTATCCCTGCATCCAGGGCCAAGCAACAGGAGGTTAATGCAAAAGCAACAGGGGTCTACTCTGCCCTCCTGAGACCAGAGTGCCTCTGCTCAGAAAAGAAGGCTCCCCTGAGAGCTTTAGCTCTTGCCACTTGGCATTGCAGCCTCTGCCACCACTGGCAGTGGCTTGCTTGGGAGCCAGGACAAGGAAGAATTGGAATTAGGAGTTCCTCTTTCCACTCTTCAAACTGGTACTGGAGAGCTGCTAGAATTCGCTTTGTCTTGCACTCACACTTCATCTCAGCCCTTAGTTCTTAGGTTTTAGGCAGCACTGCATTCAGGCTAGAGCTTGCTAGAATGGCGGAAATGATAATTCTGGTCATCTTCAATTTACCTGCTACTTTTTACTTTTCAGAGCCCTTATATAGCTGCAACTTGTATTGTGTCCAGGTTTTGTATTAAATTCAGTGGGAGAGACTCAATCAATAAGTAGATTGAGCTTATTCCAACTTACCTAGAACTGAAACTCCCAGTGAAAAATTTAACCAGGGGAATAACATGGTTTGAACTGCATTTTATTTATTTCCTCTTTAAGGGTTTTTTTGTTGTTGTTGTCATTGTTGTTTTTGAAACAGGGCCTCACTCTGTTGCCCAGGCTGGAGTGTGGTAGTGCAAACATGGCTCACTGCAGACTCAACCTCCAGGGCTCAAGCAATCCTTCTGCCTCAGCCTGCCGAGTAGCTGGAACCACAGGTGCACACCACCATGCCCAGCTAATTTTTAAATTTTTTGTAGAGGTGGGGTCTCACTGTGTTACGCAGGCTGGCCTCAAACTTTTCAGCTCCAGGGTTCCTCCCACCTCAGCCTCCCAAAATGATGGGATTTCAGGCATGAGCCACCACCTCTGGCCTACAGCACTTTTTAATAGTATTTTAAAATAAAAATTAGTAAGTGTGTAGTATAGCAAATCACATAACGCAGAAATGCATAAAGTAAAAAGTCAGTTCAGGTTGGGTACAGTAATCCCAGCACTTTAGAAAACTGAGGTGGGCGGATCACCTGAGGTCGGGAGTTCAAGACCAGCCTGGCCAACATGGTGAAACCTCATCTCTACTAAAAATACAAAAAATTAGCCAGGCATGGTGGCGCACACCTGTAAACCCAGCTACACAGAAGGCTAAGGCAGGAGAATCACTTGAACTCAGTAGGCAGAGGTTGCAGTGTACCAAGATGGTGCCACTGCACTCCAGCCTGGGCGACAGAGTGAGACTTCATCCAAAAAAAAGCCAATTCAACAGTACTCTGACTAAATTTCCCGGAATAACCATGTTTTACTTGCTTGGTATGCATTTTCTACTTATAGGCACACACATAATGTTTGTTTTTTACAAAAATGAGATTACTTCATGTTGACCTTCCTTTTTTCCCATCAGTACGTATAGATTGACCCCCTTCTTTCTAATGGCTGCAGAGTATTCCACTATACAGATGTACCAAGCTTTGACAATGCTTTATTGATACTTAAATTTTTCTACTTTGTTTTTGTCATTAGAAAGTGTAATATGGATATTACTGTTTTTTCTGATAGAAACTCTTTATCAAATTACTATCTTCTGTTTGAAGCTAAGAGCTTTCTTTTTAAATAACAAATCAGGAATGGATTTTAATTTTACTCTAAATAAAAGCATATTTGCAGGTGGGTGCGGTGGCCCATGCCTGTATTCCTGGCACTTTGGAAAGCTGAGGCAGATGGATCAGTTTGAGGCCAGGAGTTGGAGACCAGCCTGACCAACATGGCATAACCTCATCTCAACTAACAATGTAAAAATTAGCCGGGTGTGGTGGTACACACCTGTAATCCCAGCTACTCGGGAGGCTGAGGCATGAGAATTTGTTGAGCCCAGGAGGCAGAAGTTGAAGTGAGCTGAGATCATGACAGTCTACTCCAGCCTGGCCAACAGAGTGAGACTCTGTCCTTATTTAAAGAAAAAAAAAAATTAAAGCATATTTGCATTTTAGAAATATGTCAGAGACTGATTGGGCGTGAGGGGCTGACAGCAGGAGACAGATAACAGCTTCTCAGAATACAGAGTGATGAAGGCTGGAACTAAGGCCACAGCTGGAGGGATGTCATGGAGTTAGTCAGCTATACTTGGTGACTTATTTGATATAGGAGAGAGAACATACAGAGGAGACTGGCAAACATCTTTGGTGCTGATCTCTAGAGCACTCATTAGGTGGCCTTGAGTCTTTATAGCATATGAGGTCTTTGAAGTATCCCAGGCTGGGATTTTCTGGAAGGCCATGAAAGAAGTTGAAGCGGGGCCCTGTTAGCAGTGTCCTATCCCCAATTGGAGTCATGGGAGTGCAGTGCAGGGAGCTTTGAGCAGAGAGGTAGAGCCATAGAGAGCTGGGGAGAGGCCCGAACCTGCCAGCTTAGAGCTCCTCAGACTTATATTTGCTTCCAGCCTCAAGTCTGGATAGTCAAAAGTTTGTGACATTGCCCTCCAATGATGAAGTGGTGACTAACTTGGAAGTGCTGACAAACAAATGCCTCCATGGGAAGAACTACTGTCGACAGGTCCTCTGTCTGTATGATCTTGCCAAGGTATGTGCTAAGGGGTTGGGCTTCTTCTGAGAGGGAGGGAAATGAGAAATTTTAGGTTGATTTTGTACATTGCCAAGTCAGCCTTTTAGATGATAATCATAACCTGGAAGGACAGTTTTGTCAGGATGTTGGCCCCCATAAGTTCATCTTTGGGGAATGGTAGGGAAGACACCAGGCCAGGTGCCAGGGCAATCTGACTCCTGGCTGCAGCTCAGCAAACCAGAAAGCTAGGGCAAGACATTTCACTTCTGTGAGCCTGTGTAATCATCTATAAATGATGATTTGACTATGAAGGGTCTTTTCTAGACTTAATATCTTAGGCTTTGCCTTATGATTGTTTGGAGCATTCCATATGGAATGTGATGACTATAAAGACAAGAGCCAGAGCAACCAGAAATTGTCTGTAGCTTTGTGCTGGTTGGGGGAGAAAAACAGTAGACTGGAAGTAGAAGAGCACAAGAGAAATAAAGCCAAACCCTAAAGTCCTTGTCTAGGAGAAGACTCACAGACTTCTTTGGAAATTGAGGGTTTTGCTGCTGCTCTGGGAATAATAAGGGCTCTTGCATTTGTCAGTGTTCCTACATTCCATAATATTTTAAAAAATCAAGCTAGGTGTGGTGGCTCACACCTGTAATCCCAGCACTTTGGGAGGCTGAAGCAGGTTGATCACTTGAGGTCAAGAGTTTGAGACCATCCTGGCCAACATACTGAAACCCCATCTCTACTAAAAATACAAGAACTAGCCAAGTGTGGTGGCAGGCGCCTGTAATCCCAGCTGAAGCAGAAGAGTTGCTTGAACCTAGGGGGCAGAGGTTACAGTGAGCTGAGATCATGCCACTGTACTCCAGCCTGAGTGATACACACACATACATACACACACACAAAATCAGTTTTCAGAAAGAGAGTCACCTGATGCTTTCTGAAGACAAGCCTTTCTTTTACCTGGATTTGGCTTTGGTGAAATGATGGAAAGGGTTAGAAAACAGTATTTGTTTTTTTTAAGGTTCCTGCTGAGGGTGAGGGGTCTCTGAGCTTGGAAAACAGGAGTCTGGCCACGTCAGATTTCAGAAGGGGCTGTCTTTTGCTTTTTCCTGGCTTCTAAAAATGGCTTGTCTTCCTCTTAGAAGTTGGGCTGTTCCTACACAGATGTTGCTTCTCAGGATGGTGAAGTCATGCTCCGGGAAATCTTGGCCTCACAGCAGCCTGACCGATGCAGACGAGCCCAGGCCTTCATCAGCACCCAGGGCCTTAAGCTAGATACTGTGGCTGAACTCGTGGCAGAAGAGGTGACACGGGAGCTGCTGACTCCATCACAGGGAACAGGTGCTGTACCCCCTAGGGATCCCCAACCTCTCTGACAGCATTCTCCAGTTCTCAGTGTTAAGGATTTGGATGTGGTGCTTATATTCATCCTGTATGTAGTTCTCTCAGATTTCTGGATTCCAGCGATGTATTTTGTTTAAATACAACAAAATTCAGCATGTTTTTTGTTGTATTGTAGTTGTTGCTTTCTATTTTATGATTACATTAAGAGTAGCTGTGGCTTTCTGAGCTAAAGAACCCCTGTCCTGTAAAATGACCAACAGGCCAAGGGTTTTGAGCTCAACAAGCAGAGAGCTGCAGAGCTCCATTAGCATTACCTCCTTGTGCCCATGCCTGGGCAGAGTGGGCCTCTTGTGATAAAACCAGCACCTGTCTCCACACTTCCCTGTACAGGACATAAGCAGATGTTCAGCCCAACAGAGGAAAGCCACACATTTCTTCAGCTTATCACTCTGTGTCAAGACCGCACATTGGTAGGAATGAAGTTGTTGGATAAGATTTCCTCCGTTCCCCATGGGGAATTGTCTTGCAGTAAGTTCTTGGCCTTTTTCTTATATATTTTGGGTCTAAACAGGTCTCAAAAGTCTCCCAGTCAGTCTCTCACATTCAGTTTGGATCCTTGTTCCTGCTGTGAATACCGAGCCCTCCAGCAGGGGTTATAAGTTCTTGTTAGAAAGCCTTAACTTCACTGAAGAAAATTTGGAAAGTATGGATGAGTACCCCCCAATTTAAAATCATACAGAAAGGTAACCTTTACTCAACATACTTATTTCACTCCTACATTGCCCTGCAAAGTGAATAGTATTGTCCCCATTTCAGAAAGGAGGAAAACTTTACCTTAGGAAAGCTGATTGCATCTATTAAGTGGTGTTTGAACCCAGTCCATGGATTTCAAAGCTTGTTTATTTGCCATAATATCTAACTAATTATAGGCATTAGAATGTGTGGTAAGTTCTCTTTTTTAAAAAAATGACATTATACTCAGTATAGTTCTTTTTAACTTTATGAATATGCTGTCATTAATATTTTTCGTGACATTGAATATTATTCTATATAATGGCTAGACAGGATTTCTCTTCTATGTAATGAAAAATTGTATATTAGGGCAGGGAACAGTGGCCCACACCTGTAATCCCAGTGCTTTTGAGAGGCTGAGGCCAGAGGATAATTAGAGGCTTGGAGTCTGAGACCAGTCTGGGCAACATGGTAAGACCCTGTCTCTAAAAATAGTTTTAAAAACTTAGTAGGGCATGGCTGCACACACCTGCAGTCCCAGCTACTTGAGAGGCTGAAGTAGGAGGATCCCTTGAGCCCAGGAGTTGGAGATTGCAGTGAGCTCTGATTGCAACAAACACTGAACTCTCGCCTAGGCAAGAGTGAGATCCATCTCTAAAATAAATTTAAAAGTAAATAAAAATAGTCTTCTGTATCTCTTCAGTCCAATTCAACAATATTCACTGAGTGCCAACCATGTGCCAGACACTGTAAGCATCTAGGATATGGTACATAAGCAATCCCTTGAGCTCAGACTAGGATTTTAATACACAGAGCCAGAATGATGGGGTCAAGATAGATCTGGAGGAAATGTCTAAACGAAGGCCTGAAGGACATTGTCAGGGATGCTTAGTAGTCAGTAGGACCAGAGAGGGCCCTGCAGATGCAAAAGCCCAGAGGCTGCAGCATGTATTAAGGATAGAGAACCTTTTTCAGTCCTGACATTGCAGATATTTTTTCCCATTTGCCATTTAATTGTGCTTACAGTGATTAAAAAATACTATAATCTGTGCATGTCAGATCTTTCACTACTCTAGAAAGCCAGAACATCAAATGGTGATTGGGCCCTGAGACCTTCCACTGGGATACGAGCAGAGAATGCCCTCGGATTCATGTGGCAGGAACTCCTTTAGTTTTCTCTGCAGAAAGTTTCTCTATGTTTAGAAGGCAAGGGTGCTGTGTTCTCATTTTGGGGGCCCTTTGGGGATACAGTCACTATATGACTGTCTTTGAGGATTTTGCTATGACTGAGAATGATTTGAATGTCATCAAGGATCTGTGTCAGAGCTACAGCTGCTGAGTTTAGGGACCTCGAAGGGCTGGTGGGAGGGCCCTCTCCAGACAGGCCCCTTCTCCACCAGGCAGAGAGGTTGACAGTGGGTGGCCAGGGTTCATAATCCTATCTTAACGGTGCCTCACCCACCCAGCCACAGAGCTCCTGATCCTGGCACATCATTGCTTCACCCTGACATGCCACATGGAGGGCATCATCCGAGTCCTACAGGCTGCCCGGATGCTCACAGATAACCACCTGGCCCCCAGTGAGGAGTATGGGCTGGTGGTAAGTAGCCCCCTCAACTCCAGTCTCCATTCGGTAGAAACCTCTGAGAGGAGTAGAAAGGGTGGGGGCCGGTCCAGAGCTGATATAGTCTTAGGGAGTTGTGCCCATCTGGATACCATTACCTCCTTGAGAGTTGGCTGGACAGCCCAACCCTCTGCTCCAAGTTACGATTTCTGTCAGAACCAAAAGTTGCTCCAAAGGAGCAAAAGGGAGAAGATCCCTGCCAGGTTCCAGGTTCATCCCACCCCCTTGTCAGAATAGTTAACTTTTCTAGAGGGCTAAGACAGTGGCATTTTCCCCCAAAACAAGGTTTGGACTTTCCCCCTCTCTCTGAATTGAAAAGAGTTGGCAACTCAGTTCCCATGTGCCTCCCCAAATTCTCTGGGCTTGAGTAAGCCACTGGCCACTGTCATGAGTAGTGGTGAGAAGAGGAAGAGCACTTGCCCAGGAAAGTGGCATTTTAGCACTTGTCACATTTAAGGATAGCAAGGCCAGGTACAGTGGTTCATGCCTGTAATCCCAGCACTTCGGGAGGCCAAGGCAGGAGGACCACCTGAGGTCAGGAGTTCAAGACCCAGCCTGGCTAACATGGTGAAACCCTGTCTCTACTAAAAATACAAAAATTAGCCAGGCATGGTGGCACATTTCTATAATCCCAGCTATTCAGGAGGCTGAGGCAGAAGAATTGCTTGAACCGGGGAGGCGGAGGTTGCAGTGAGCCAAGATAGCACCACTGCTCTGGGTGACAGAGCAAGACTCTTTAAAAAAATAATAATAATACAGCAGAGAAGGGGAACAGCCAGTGATGGCCCAGTGACTGGCATTTCTGAATCCTCCAGAGGGTCCCTTTTGCGTACATGGGATGGAGCTAAGCGTGGTAACCTGGAAATTAGCTCTTCTCCTCCTGGAGCTTGGCATCTGAAAGCAACCACTGATGGTAGTGATCTGGCTCAGAGAACTCCAGACTCCAGGTAGTGCTGATGTGAGCTGCCTTCCCCCTTCACAGGTACGGCTCCTCACTGGCATTGGAAGGTACAACGAGATGACATACATATTTGATTTGCTGCATAAAAAGCACTACTTCGAAGTGCTGATGAGGAAGAAGCTGGATCCGGTAGGTAGAAAGTAATGAGCTCCAGGATGAGGTGTACTGCTGACAATTCAGGAGCCTCAGTTTTTCTTGGGAATAATCTCAATCAGGGTAGACTCTTGGGAAAATGGAGGGAAGAATTAGGGACCTTCCAAAGACACACAATATAACCAGTGCCTTCAGATTCTGGTTCAGATCAGGCAGTGAATATGCTAATGCTAAATACTGAAGAAAACAAGTTTGTCTTCCTCCACCTCAGCCTCTGTCACCTGCCTCTATAAATGCCTTCTCTGACAGGGACAAGAACCCTTTCTGAGCCAGGCTGAAAGTGGATTATCTAGCTCTAAGGTTGTTTGAGGGCTTTTAGAGTGGAGAATTTTCAGGAGACCGTGAAAAATTGTGCTGCTAAGAGCCAGGACAGGAATCGAATGCAAAAGTTTGGACTCAAAAGCTGTGGAGCCATTTATGATGAACAGGAAGGCAACTTGGATGCAAAGGCCTGACTTGGTTAGGTCTTGGGCTCTGGGAAGCCCATCTGTCCTCAGTGTGCTCTGTGACACCAGGCATATCCCTCAAAGTACCTGTTTACAGATCATTTGGCTGATTCATTGCTTCTGCTCATTTCACCTTTGGCTTCTGGGAGCAGCCAGGCAGGATTAAGAGACAAAGAAAAAGTTTTTCTTTAATACTGGGACAATTTCAGGACAGACCAAACTAGTCATCAAGCGAGGAGCAAGTCTTGAACATTAGGTGCATCTTCAAGATCCCCAAGAGGGTTTTTGAAATTGTTTTTGAGGCAGTTTTGCTTCTGCATTTAAATATTCTTTTAATAACTTTTTTTTCTGGTTACAAAAGTAATGCATATTCCGTGTAAGACACTCGGAAAACAGAACAACACAGAAAAAGCCCTCAATGTCTATCCATCATCTGGAGACAGTTACTAACAATTTGGTATAGGCCCTCTGCACATATACCCAAAAACATCTACATATAATTACATTTTTAAAAAACTTATACAGTGAAGATATGAAATACCCTGCTTTTCTCAGTTAAGTATATCATGAATATTTCCCAAAATCAAATCATCTCCTACGTATGTTTTAATGGCTACATGGTATTCTCTTGCCCTTATCTATCTGGATTGTTTCTGATTGTTTGCTATTAAATATCCCTGTTACATTCATCTTACCACTTTTCTCTGCGTATCTCTTTAGGGATAGATTCCTAGAAATGGCATTGTTAGATCAACATATGCAGGCATAGCCTTTGACACTCCCAACAGCAAAGAGGACCTGCCTGTTTCTCATACTCAAGATAGCATAAAACTTGTATTCGTTCTCACTTTTGCTTCTCTGTTCCTTTTTCTTGGCAGTTTTTAAGGAACTTAGAACCAGGTGACTCAGCCACTCCTGTCTGCTTTGCAGTCCCCGACTGACACCCTGCTGTTCTCTTTTATTCTGGGCAGAGTGGTACCCTGAAGACAGCCCTGCTGGACTATATCAAACGCTGTCGTCCTGGAGACAGTGAGAAGCACAATATGATTGCCCTGTGCTTCAGTATGTGCCGGGAGATTGGCGAGAACCACGAGGCAGCTGCCCGCATCCAACTGAAATTGATTGAGTCTCAGCCCTGGGGTGAGTGAGGTCACAGCAGCACTAACAGAACAGTGCTGCTAGCTGCGTAAAATTATTATTATTTTTGTAACTGTTGCCAGGCTGGAGTGCAGTGGCACAATATTGACTTACTGCCACCTCCACTTCCCAGGTTTAAGCGATTCTCCTGCCTCAGCCTCCCGCATAGCTGGGATTACAGGCGCATGCCACTACACCCAGCTAGTTTTTGTATTTTTAGTAGAGACAGGTTTTCACCATGTTGGCCAGGATGGGTCTCAATCTCCTGACCCTGTGATCCGCCCGCCTCAGCCTCCCAAAATGCTGGGATTACAGGTGTGAGCCACTGCACTTGGCCCTAAGTAAAAAAAAATTTTTTTTATTGCATTTTAGGTTTTGGGGTACATGTGAAGAACATGCAAGATTGTTGCATAGGTACACACATGGCAGTGTGATTTGCTGCCTTCCTCCCCATCTTAGAGCAAAGGACAAGAGCCCATGAGATTGGCTGTTAGAATCTTGAGGTGGATGGCCGGGCCTGACGCCTGTAATCCTAGCATTTTGTGAGGCCAACGTGAGTGAATTACCTGAGCTCAGGAGTACAAGACCAGCCTGGGTACAATGGTGAAACCTACTGCTACTTAAAAAAATTAGCCGGGTATGGTGGCACGCGCCTATAATCCCAGCTACTTGGGAGGCTGAGGCGAAAGAATCACTTGAACCCAGGAGGCGGAGGTGCAGTGAGCTGAGCTTGCACCACTGCACTCCGGCCTGGGCAGCAGAGTAAGATTCTGTCTCAAAAAAAAAAAAAAAAAAAAAAAAAAAAAAAACAAAAAAAAAAAAAAAAAAAAAAAAAAAAAAAAAAAAAAAAAAAAAAAAAAAAAAAAAAAAAAAAAAAATTGAGGCGGGTATGTCACTCATCAGGAACCCCACTTGGACAGACAGATGGAATGCAGACTCAGAAAGCATTTGCAACTTAGAATCGTACTCTTGGATCCACAGCCTGTGTATCCAGGGTATCATCCACCAGGAACCAACATGCATATTGATACCATGTAAACCTTCCCTGATGTTTCAGAGAAATGCGGGGCACAGTCTTACTCGAGTTAAGTTACAATAAGTCTGTGCATTTCTGGCCCATTAACCTTTATCTGAGTGAGGTGTTCCTGCCTCCCTGTGAACATGGCTGGGATGTTTTTATTCCAGCTCCCATCACGGGGTGGAATGAGAACAGTCTGCCTTGGACGTCAGACTCAGCAAATCATCTTTATTTCCCTTGCAGAGGACAGCCTCAAGGATGCGCACCAGCTGAAGCAACTACTGATGAAAGCCCTGACTCTAATGCTGGATGCAGCAGAGAGCTATGCCAAGGTAACCAAAGGCTTTTTCCAGACTGGCCTTGGGACTTACTGTCTGCAGTAGGAATTATTTTCTTTTTTCCTTGCGCTATTCCAAATGAAGGAGGAGGGCATCATAGGCCAACCAGAAACAGAAGGGGTCAATACCATTGTGAGAGGGTTCACACAGGAGGTGAAAGTCTTTCTCTACCTGTGCCTCTCTTCACCCTTGTCCTTCAGGACTCCTGTGTGCGACAGGCCCAGCACTGTCAGCGGCTCACCAAGTTGATAACTCTGCAGATTCACTTTCTGAACACTGGCCAGAACACAATGCTCATCAACTTGAGCCGCCACAAGCTGATGGACTGTATCCTGGCCCTACCTCGGTTCTATCAGGTGAGCAAGAAAGCAGAACTCTTGCCAGCACTGCTATTATCCTCTCTCCTATTATCCCACTCATGGAACCCAAAGGTATGGTCTCAGGGCTAATGACAGAACCAGGACAGTCCAGTTCTGACTTAACTTTCTGATGCTAACATAAAAAGGCAGTTTCATTTATTTCTTACCAGTACATTATTTGGGCAGGGGTTAGACAGTGGTAAGACAGTGCTGTCTGCTTTCGGTTTGTTGTTAGGCTAGCAGAGAGGCAGATACCTTTGGCCCTTGAGACCATCTGTCCCCAATCCCCAGGCTGCAGGCTGGTACTGGTCCATGGCCTGCTAGGAACAAGGCCGCACAGCAGGTGGGCAGCAGGCAAGCAAGCATTAACACCTGAGCACCACCCCCCGTCAGATCAGCAACAGCACTATATTTTCATATGAGTATGAACCCTGTTGTGAACTGCACATGCAAGGGGCTCCTTATGAAAACCTAATGCCTAATGATCTGAGGTGGAATAGTTTCATTCTGAAACCATCCCCTCCCAGTCCGCGGAAGAATGGTCTTCCAGGAAACCTGTCACTGGTGCCAAAAAGGTTGGGGACCACTGCCTTAAGACAGTTGAGGTTCAGAGTAATACTCTTGCTAGTGGTCCTGAAAGAACCTCCTAGCCCCATCAATTACAGAATGGCACACCCAGGTTAGTACAGGAAGTCAGGGAGATTGGTTCTAGCCCTTTAAATAAGTGGATTATCAGGGAATCAGCCCTTTCACTGTTCCTTATACTGCTGAGTTGATGGGAATAATACATTCTTCTTGAGCAGTTTCAATTCATTGTGAGGGGAAGATTAAAAACACTGAAAGAACCTGGGCATGGTAGCACACGCCTACAGTCCCAGATACACAGGAGGCTGAAGCAGGAGGGTCTTGAGCCCAGGAATTTCTAGTCCAGCCTGAGCCAACATAGTGAGAGACCCTGTCTCCTTTGTTAAAAAGGGTTTAAGGTAATTTGAGGCTTTATGGGAGGGAAAATGCCAAACACACACCAGACTTTTTACCACCTCTGATACATCGAGCCTTCTAACATAACTGGTAACAACCTGAGTCGTTCTCTACATGAGTATACAAGGTTGTTTTCTAGAACAGTTTGTTTTTTTGATTTTACATCGAATGGGCTCTGATAGTGTCCTCCTCGACTTCTCTCCTTTTAAGGCTTCTATTGTGGCTGAGGCCTATGATTTTGTTCCAGATTGGGCTGAAATTTTATACCAGCAAGTGATTCTTAAAGGAGATTTTAATTACTTGGAAGAATTTAAGCAGCAAAGGTTATTAAAGTCCAGTATATTTGAAGAGATTTCAAAAAAGTAAGTATTAAAACTTGACTGTAAACATTTCTCCTTTCCTCTGCTTTGAGGTGAAACAAGTGTAAGAATGTTATGGCTAAGTACACCAAGCCTTTAGATTGCATCTACTTAAAATGGCAATGTCAAGAATCCTTAGAAGGAAGAGTCTTTCAACAGATTTATGCAA